AAAAAAAAAACCACACATAAATCTTCTGTTTAATGTTATGCACAAGATAGTAAAACCTTGGCGAAAACAAGGTAAAAGACTTACATAAAATATAGGGCAGTAATTAGGTGGGGGAGGCTAGGATAAAGGAGAAGTTTCAAAAGTATGAGCACTGGGTACTTCTTAAACTAGATGCTCTCGTGCCAAGTGGAAATAAAACTTGTAAAATTTTCTTATTACTACTATTTAAACCCTATACACATACATATATATGTATGTATATATTTTTTGTATGTTTGAAATATTTCAGTTTTCAAATGTCTTGAATTTAAAAACCTTAACACGAACCTTCCAGTTCACCCCAACTCCAGGTCTCCTGCGACAGGGGCCCCTTGAACCATTAACAGTGATCACGGCACTGCCACCGCTCTAGCCCCAGGTCTATGGCACATTCCCAACAGAGCTACCCACAATCTCCCGCTTACCCCACCCTGCATTATTAGCTTGCCTTTTTTTTTTATATATATTTTATTTATTTATGTATACAGAACTGGGGTACAGGTCTGAGGTGCAGGGGCAGTTGAAGATTCACCAGAGACAGAGTGGGGAGCAGAACAGACAGATCAAAGAAGTACACTGCTGAGGGGAGCAGGAGAGATCTGCTGTGCCATGTGGATCGCCTCCTGGGCGAGGATCGAACTCACACCCAAGGCTGCAGCTCGCTTGCAGTGCTACGCTTTAACCCACTATGCCACCAGGGAGGGCCTAGCTTGCTTTTTCATGGCTTTTCTACCTTGAAGAGACTAATCCTCAACTCTCTGTATCTGTCTTTTTGAGGTATTTTTGTCTATAAAAATCCCTATCAGTCCTTATTTCCAGTACAATTCCAAAATGAACACTCAATACATGAATTCCTAACATATATTTGTTGAAAGTTGGATCTAACCAACTCTGACTCTAGGTTTTAGAACTGGCTACATGGGAAGAGCAGAGAGGGTAGAGCAGCGAGGGTAGAGCAGCCAGTTAAAACACCTTCCCCGACAAACTGAGGACTTGTGCTCTGCAGAGAAATAATGGCAATGATCTGGCTATAGTCATACTAAAACTTTGCAGGAAAAAAAGTATTTTTTTGGTAGAGAAAAAAGTCCTGTTTAAGTAAAAGCTTTCGTAAGTATATTTATACATCTACTCTCTTAACATGAATTCCCTATTTAGAAACCTGTGAAACTGAGTAAATTATTCATTTGCGTAAGAAAAATTTATGGTACTTTTATATGCTGAAAAATTACTATGCTGGTAAATGCTTAAAAAAAAAAACCACAAAGCGAATGTTTAGCCATTCAATACTTTAACCAAATGAATAATGAGAGTAAGATACTGTCATTTTTTTTATAAATACAAACAAAAGATCATTTATTCAATACAAACCCATTAATGTGTTTCTTTCTGCCACAAAAGCAGGTTTATCTCTATCTCCACAAGCAACCTGCTTAGTTTTTAAGTAGGCAGACAGCGATGATGGCAGCGCATCCTGCCAGATTAAGAAGTTTAGCAAGTGGGAGGCTGTTACACAGTCATACGGTTTTGTGCTTGTGCTGAGCTCCAAAGCTGCCTGGAATAAGTCTTGCAGTTTCCCCGAATCCTAGAATAAAGCACAGTAACCAAATGTATTTTTAATTTAAGAGAATAGGAGGTAATTTAAAACAGAGCCTGCCACATAATTGGAATTTAATATGAACATTCGTTCATTTTCTCAGTGAACATAGGTTGGAGTTTCTCTAGTAATCAATGTTTATTATTAACCATTGTGGTGATGAGGGTCTGAAACAGAATAACAGTGAGAAAATTAGGTACTAATAAAGCTTTTTTTTTCTTCCAGAAATGTCTCCTTTTTCTCTGTAGAAATTCGGCAATACCCACAGCCAAATTATTTTCATTATTTCTGCAAAGAGCTGAGATCTTGGATATAGCAAGGTTTTGACTGGGCATCATATTCCTGCCTGTCTCCCCTTCCTCTTCTCATGCAACTAGTTCAATAGAGAAAAAGACAAAGTCACACAAAAATATAAATTCCACCAGCCTGGTCCTGGTGAAGCACCATATATGTGTGGTTAATAAAGTGATCAGATCAGCCTTAAAAGTTCTACATCCCAGACCTCCTACACAGAGTCAGAGGAATGTGTATTCACAAAGCCTGTCTAAAGAAGACAGACAAAGGACAGGTCACTCGAGTGGCATACTCATACAAAGGCAGTGGGCAGAGGACAAGAGACAGGCTCCTGTTCGACAAGCTATATGTACACTACGCTAGACTTAGGATTCTGTAGCTCAATAATATCGATCCCTTTAGGATTGCTCCATAACTGTCTAATGTAGAGGGGGGAGCCATTATAAACATAATTTTGAATTTAATTACAGGTATATACAAATAATGTATCACAATTTCCAAAAACAGAAATCAAACATACTGATTCAAATTCTTTGCTCTCTGATACATTTAGTTTTCTATTCAGTGGCCAAAGCTCAAATGTAAATCAACATTAGAAAGAATCAGGTAAGCCTCTAAGCCATTTTATGTAACCAATAGTTAAGTTCTCAAACTGTTTAATCAATTAATTAGTAAAAGGCATAATAAAGAGCCTTTCAAATCTAAAGTATCTTTTATCTGTCATCTTAGATCAATCAAAATGTAATATAAAAACCTTGAATATATAGAACCACAAGAAAGAAGGGAAATTGACTAGGTAAATAGTAATGTCATATATTCGAAATATGTATCATCAAAAAATATGCTCATACAGGTACTTAGAAACTGTGTCAACACTCCAAAAATGTCTTGAAGTATTAAAACATTAATTACATATTATAGAGTATAACCAAATAAATATATAATCAGTGTTTTAAATTCTTGAATGACTATTCCTACTATGCAAGCCAAACCAGAAAGGATAACCACCAAAACCCTATAACAAGCCATACACAGCCAAGTTTCCTGAACTCTGTAGTTAAGTGTCTATACCTCAAGCACATGTCCCTCAGATTAGAGATACAGAGGCTCCCTAAAAAACCTTCAGCGTTCATGTAAAGATCAGACTTCACATAGTGCTACTATATACTTTCCCCACTCCAGTTACTCTCAATATATTTGCCAGCAAGGAGACCTATTTGCATATATGATATAAAGCTACAGTGTCATCAATGGTAAGGGGCAAAGGGAGAAGGGAGAGGGAAAAAAATAGAAAACATCAATTTCTTCTTTAAAAACTCTAATAGTTAAAAAAATTAATAAAAATGTTAAAACTGAATAGCACAAAAATTTAGCAGCCTAAGCATTAATGAAGCTTCTGCACATTCTGCTCACCAGAGCCCATGACAGGCCACAGGGTTAAGTGGGTACTAGAGAACAACTCCTAATCTACAGCCAGCCCAGAAAAGATGTTCTGAGGTATTGCAATGCCATCAAGAAACCATGGAAGCAGTCACCTTGTGCTTCCTGACATATGTTCCTACAGAATCACACTGCACCCACATGTTGTCATGCCCTATAGAGACTAGGAGCTGAAACCCAGGCCATGGCATAGTTATAATCCCTGCAGGTATCTGGGCCTCTATATAGCGCTGACAGAAAGCAAGTGACCCCACAAGTGCTGGGAACCTGGGTGCTTAAACTAAGGGGTGCCGGGCCATGCAGACCCATCCCTAAGCTGTTCCCTCCCACCTCAGTCTACTTAGGTTCCTACCCTAAGTGGAAAATGAACAGTGTCTGAAAGAGAATAAGAGCCGGAGATGCGGTAGAACCTCTAGGTACCTCACATACTGAGTTTCAGTCTCAGTTTAGCTACTGCTTGTTGGAGGTCAGAAACATGTTCTCTCCCTCACTCGCACAGAGCGAGTTCCCCAGACAACTAAGAAGGGAGGTTATCTCAAAAAGCTCAAGTTACTGGAAGTGATGTGTTTTGAGCAGGTTATTAACACATCCAAGTAAACTAGGGAGACCACAGTCAACTGATATCTACCAAATAATCTGGTAAACAATGAGACTTTCTGCTTTCTACAACTCTCTCTTTTAATCAAAACAATTTTAAAGAAAGGCAAAAAACAGCTTTCTGATTTGAATTTTGTTTTCTTTTACAACATTTCCTCCTTCCCTATCATTCATTCTAATCTCTTCTAGCCTCTCACCCCATAACAGTGGGGGCATTAATGAGAACTGAAAGTGGCAGAAAACATAAGAAAGATGGAAAGAACCTGGATAAAACACAAACTGCTGTATCTGTTGCTAAAACAGAAAGTTTTCATTGACACATTTACATTTACAGCCCAAATACCTGAAAGTGCACAACAGTTTTTGGTAACTTCATGAGAAGATCAAATGCTAAAATTTTTACTTCTTCAAAAGTGCTGGTAAAACATTCCATCAGTGTTTGGAAACGACCAACATCAATATCATGACTCAGATGGTACACTGTTTGGACTCCATCTAAAACCAAAAATTTACAAGAGAATAAAAGGAGATAATATTTTGAAGTTATTTGGTCAGTTTTATAGAAAATGACTATAAAAATGTGTATGTCACCACACTAGCATAAGAATAGTTTTTCTCTTAATTTATTTCCCAAAATGGTTATCCAGATAGAAAATAAACATTTTTAAATTTGTTTAAAATCATTTCATTCTCATGCAGAAGGCTATATATTATGTAAGATCCCTAAGCTATTTTAAAAGACATAAACAATTAAATTTAGGAATACACCTTTAAAAAGGAATATACCTTTCTTGACTTTCGACTTGAAGTGCTAGGCACTTTTATTGAGAATAATAAGTAAAATGACAAATCTTCAGGTGATTTACTCAAAATAAAGAGGATTCTTCGGGGCATATTGACAAAAACAATCTCAATCTATACATTAGAAAAAACTAAGTTTGTTCTCTTTTGTAAAATAAAAAAAAGGAGAAAGCAAGCATTGTACAAAAGTGAACAATGATGTAAAACATAAATGTATAATATAAATTAATATAAAAATGAATTATAAAAATAAAAAACTAAGTTTGTTCTTCACGCTTCACAATAGCAAACTGCTGTGATAGCATATAGTGAAGCAATGCTTACAAAATTCTCAGGGAAAGGTGTGATGAAAAGTTATGTATCAAAGTCCTAATATAGCACCAGGCATAACAGCAAGAAATTAAGAAATACATTTTCCCCAAAAACTCTTCCCAAAGGACAGTGAGTTTCAGCCAACCAAGAAATGTGCAGGCAAAAATACATCACAAACAAATGATAGCAGTAAAGAATATGTTTAACTCTATGATTAAGACTAAACAATTGTGGGAATAGGTTTTATAGCAGAATGTGAAGGAAAGTTAATAATTTAACCCCTGACAATAACTGAAAACATTCCTATACGTAATTTGGAGACTGATGCTCACTAAAAGCAGGTTTCTTATTTAATCTTAGCTGACAAGAAAGTCAGTAATTCAGTGAAAATCCTAGTTAAAACAAATGAAGGTTTGGCACTTCATTCATACATCTGTTCAATTTGCTGATTCTTTTCTAATTTGGAAGTATTTTTTCTCTATTTTTTGCCTAACTGTTCCAGCTAAAACTTACAAAGATGAACAGAATGTGAGTACTGGTGTCATTTTCCTAATCAGAAAGAAAAGGCTTTCCATCTTACACCATTCAGTATGTTATTAGCTGCGGGTTTTTCATGAATGTCTTTTACCATATTGAAGTTCCTTTCTATCCTTATGTTGTTGAGTACTAGTCTATCATGAATTTTGTTAAATGCTTCTTTTCACCAACTGAGATGATCATGTGTTTGTTTTTTCCTTTGTTCTAATATGGCATATTAGATAGACTATTTCTTATGTTGAACCTACCTTGCATTCCTGGGATAGATAAATGTCTTCTTGTCATGGTTTACAATACTTTTAATATGCTATTGGGTTTGCTTCCTGGGTATTTGGGTATTTTGTAGAGAAGCTTTATTATCTATATCTAGCTTTTATAGCTATACAGGCCTAGCATTTTCTTATGATTTTTTTTACACTTTTTTTTTTAATTGAGGCAACAATGGTTTACAATACTGTATATGATTTAGGGTAATAGTGAAAAAGCTCTACAGATGTATGTTACCACAGTACACCCCCCCACCAAAGCATCTATAACTCTTTACTACAAACCACTGGGCCCCTCACCTTGACTACAGTATTAGGATAATGCTGGCCTCGTAGAATAAGTTAGGAAGTGTTCTCGTCTCTACAGTTTTTTTAGAAATTTTAAAAGTGGTTAATTCTCCTTCTGTTAGTGGAATAGGCCTGAGTTCTACTTCTGACTTTCTGGTTATAACAAAAGTCAATAAGCAGAAACAAGAATTGAATCTAAAGCCCTTTTGTTTTTCAGATCACTGGCTACTCAGCTGAGAAAATGGTGGATATAACACCCAGAAGTAACTGTTCTGCCACAGCCAATGATCTGAGAGAACGGTGGGCAAAGCACCCTGAGGAAACACTTTAGCCATCTTACATCAAGCTGGCATTTCTATAATGAGTAACAGGAACAACTGTAAGCAAACAGACCATTAGAACAGCCTGTCACAGCTGAGACTTCTGTTGCAGCCCCCAGAACCTATTATCAGCCTCCCAGTTATATTGTCCCTGGTATATCTGAGGGTGTCAATGATTAGCACTCATTTGTGGCATCATCAGGGGAAGAACCTCAGTTTTAAAACAAGTCTTGGTTTTAAGAAAACAGACCATTAGTCATGTAATGTGGACACGCAAGCCAGGCTCTGCGTGTATGTGCAGATTCTTATACTAAGTATGGTGTCCTCGCCTTCTACCCTAGTGCCCTATCACACTGAATATCTGCTCGAATTTACCAATGAAGCCACATCCCCTGGACTTTTCTTTGCTGAAAGGCTTTGATTAGTAACTACATTTCTTTCCACAGAGTGGTTATAGGTCTATTCAAATTTTCTATTTCTTCTTGAGTCAGTAATTTGAAAGTTTCTAGAAATTTGTTCATTTGGGTTATCTACTTTATTGGAAATACAGTGCTTATTATTATTATTAGTCTTACAACCCTTTTCATTTCTGTAATGTCAGTAGAAATGTCCCTACTTTCATTTCTGATTTTAGTTATCTGTGTCTCCTTTGCTATTTTCTTAATTAGTCAGGATAGCTAAAAATCTTGTCAATTGTGATCTTTAAAAAAAAAACTTCTCATTTCTTTGATTTTCTGTATTGTTTTTCTATTCTCTATTTCCATTATCTCCAGTCCAATCTTTATTATTTCCTTCCTTCTGCTAGGTTAGGGTTAAGTTTGTTTTTCTTTTTCTAATTTCTTGAGGTATAAAGTTAGGTTACTGGTTTGAGATCTTTTTATCTAAGTAGGTATAAATCTCCCTATGAGCAGTGTTTTGCTTCATCCTGTATATTTAACAAGTTGTACTTTTGTTTTCACTCCTCTCAAAATATTTTCTAATCTCCTTTGTGATTTCTTGAGCCATTGGTTGCTTAAGAGCCTTGCTCAAATTGGAAGCCTTCCCATTCCACTGTATGAAATAGTACTTCCCATCCTCCCAAATACTCCATATCCACCCCCACCATCCTACGCCTTCTCATTTGCCCACCCCCAATTCTTTGTTGAAATAGGTTTTCTAAGTTCTTATAATCTCTCCACATAAAATTCACTTGTTAGTTTATTGTCTATCCCCCTTTACTAAAGTCTACAATCAAAAATGGGGAGCACATTGCTTTGTACACTGCATATTCTTCACTGCTGGACAGATAACAAGCATACATAAGTAACTGATGAACAAACCCTTTTAATCTTATTGTAGAATCCAATTTTTGACTTAATACTGTCACATTTTATTCCAAGAAGGGGCAGGTATTTGGCTTATTCTTCTTGACTTAGGACATATTGAGAAAAAGACAGAACCCATTTTTAGTGATCCCATTCCAGTCCTTGCAATAATATAAAAATTCACATCAGTGTTCTTGAGATAAAGAATAAAAACAAATGTACAACTCACACCCTGTATTTCATGGTCATGCCTCTTTAACTTCCTTCAAAGTCAATGGTTATAACATGGTCTGCTCCATTTGCTTTACCTCCCAAGTTGTTTAATTAACATTATTACCATCAATCACTGCTCAATTACATGCGACTCATTCATTAAGAAGATGACTGAGAATTTTGACTTTTAACATACATTTAAGTACATTAAACTACTGTTCAATTGAATTATACTGTTTAGTATAATATAATACTGTTTAGTATACTGTTTAGTATATACTAAACAGTATAATTCAACCTACTGTTATTTTTCTTATGAGTAGGTACAACCATACCTACATTAAATGTACAGAAAACTTTTTGCCAACTGGACCATTCATCACTCTCAGATAAAATTGCATTATCTATATTCAGTTGTAATACCACTCAATTTCCTTAAACTGATGGTTATCTCTGTAGTTAACGTTCTATTAACAAATCATCACAAATTTGGTGGCTTAAAAAAAAATCACAGTAATATAATGTAAACAATGATGTAAAGCAATATTAACGCAATAAGAAACATTTTTTATAAAAACGCAGTAACAGATTTCTCACATTACTGAAAGCTGGAAGTTCCAAATCGAGATGTTGGTAGAGCCAGGCTCTCTCTAGAGGCTGACTGGGAGAATTCAATCCATGTCTTCCGGCTTCTGATTGCTGCTCAGAATCACTCAGGTTTATAGCACAATCACTCAGGTCTCCACCTCTGCTGTGACAATGGCATCTTTCCATTGTGTGTTATATCTCCCTAGGCTTCTCAAACTTATAACACTGGCAGTGGCATTTAGGCAAGATTATCCATTTAGAATCTTTAACAATCACATTGGTAAAAACCACCTTTCCTGGCCCTCCCTGGTGGTGCAGCAGGTTAAAGCACAGCACTAAGAAGCTAAAGCCACTTCAGCATTAGTTCGATCCCCGCCCCGGGGTTGACCCACATGGTGCAGCAGACCTCTCTTGACCCATCCACTGCTCCCCTCAGCAGTATACTTGTCAGTCGGTCTGCTCTGCTCCCCACTCTGTCTCTGGTGAATCCTCTCACCACCCCTGCACCTCTGGCCTGTACTCCTGTTCTGAATGCATAAATAAATAAATCTTCTTTAAAAAAGAAAAAAAAACACCTTTCCCAAGTAAGGTTATAAGCATCCAGAGGAGTCATTTGGGATCTAAGGATTTAAAGCTATGAGTTTTAAGGATTTGATGTGGCTATCTTTTGAGGGCATTATTTAGCTTACTACTGCTTCCTTAATCAGGTGATCAAACTTGTCATAATCAATAATCAGACAAACCAATAATATATACCTGATATAATGCCATTAAGTAGAAAACTTTATCAACTATACAATATTCCTGCCAAAAATTCATAATTTGAATCAAATCGGGAGGGAAAAAAACCAGACAAGTTGAGATATATTCTTCCAAATGTAAATGTCATAAATTAAGAAATTTTCTAGATAACATGAGATTTAGAGTCTAGTGATGAAATACAATATATGGTCTTAGGTTGGTTCCTGGATCATGAGGATTTTTTTTTTTTTCTCAATCATTTACTGAATCATCTGGCAAAATTTGAAGACAGATTGTCGATTAGATAACAACATGTGTTTACATTTATATGGTATTAAGTTTCCTGAGTTTGATAGCTATGTTATGGTTATAAAATTAATAAGAGACACAAAGATAAAGCATATACAGCACAATATTAACAAGTGATAAATCAAGGTACATGGCTGGACATTGAACTATTCTTGAAACTTTACTGTTGGTTAAAATTTTTTCAAAGAAAAATGGTTTTCTTCAAATGAAGCAAACCTGCATCAAGAGAAAATACCTGTCTTCCTCCCCTCCAAAAAAATTAAACTTTACCTAAACATTTTTTTTAAAAAATCCAACCAGCATGTAAAGTTGTCTGGGTCTCTGGCTCTTCCTTCTGAAAGAGTAGCTAAGCAGGATATTTTTATTTGTTAATGAGGGCACAGCACAAACAAGAAATCCAGATATAAACAAACATACAGTACTGGGATAAAAAGAATCATTTCTGGTCAAAAATGAAAAAAAGACACACAGAGAGAAATTAAATGTTTATCCTCTCAAATACCCCACAGGAGGAGAAACAAAGGGCATCATTAAACCAAAATGCCTGGAAATGACATGCTTGTGCTGTCTTTCCGAAACCAGAATGAGACTTATGAAAACAGATAGCTTAGAAGTGAAACCACATTTTAACCACAAAGACATAGTGAGGAATGTCATATACAAGAGAAACCAGGAATATTTTAATTTGTAAAACTAAATTTACAGACTGGGGATTATCTTAAAAGAACACTATGCTAACTGGGCAGGAGGGTGAGAACAACAATTCTTTCCATACTATGCATAAATCTGTAACAATTGTAGCTTTGGTTTAGCAAACAATGATCAGAGAAAACAGTTTCTTTCCATTCTATCCCTTACTGGCAAATTTAATTATGTTCCATTAAGAATTATACAGTCAAAGTAACACCTCCCAGAAGAGTCTAAATTACTGAGACTTCAAATATACCAAAAAGCAGAAGACAACCACATTTTGCAAGGAAAAATATACTTTCCCCAACATTATCGAACACTTACCTTCTGGTACAGGAAAAACATCAGCTATTGAACCTAAGATGGTTAAAGCTGAAAATCTAGTTGAGTAGGAAGAGCCAGGAAACAATGCTTCAAAAAGAATGTTGCATACTGATGACATGAAAGTCTAAAAACAAAAATGACAATAAGCCTAATTCAGTTAATTCACAATAAGTATCATCTTTAGCTGTTTCATTTTCGTTAAAAAAGAAAGATCTGGGTCACTACACTAGTTGTCCATTCTGCTTGACAGTTCTGAATGGCACACCTGACATACTTTAATGAATCGACACAATACTGTATCCCAGACCAGAAAAAAAGTTATTTTTAGTGAAAACAAGATTTCTCCTGCCCTAATTGTGCTAAAATTGGATGACTATTGACACCAGGGGCATTTAGGGAACAAAGGTGTATATATACACTTCTTAGGCTTAAAGTCATACTATACACTTAGACTATAGTCCATACTATCAATAATTGCTAAATTTGATAAATATAATACTTGATAAACTTAGCTACATGAATTGAGTCATACAAAAATCCAACTATTCCACTATTCACCACCATAGCCCATTATACTTCCTTTCATTGTCTTCTATCTGCCTTTTTTTTTTAAGATTGATTGATTGATTGATGCATACAGAACTGGGGTACAGGCCAGAGATGCAGGGGAGGTGAGAGGATTCACCAAGGGCAGAGTAGGGAACAGAACAGGTCGACTGACAAAGTACATTGCTAAGGGGAGCAGCAAGTGGGTCAGAGGTCTGTGGATCACCTTCGGGGCGGGGACCGAACTCATGCTAAAGTGGCTTTAGCTTCTTAGTGCTGTGCTTTAACCCGCTGCGCCACCAGGGAGGGCCCCTATCTGCCTTTTTGACACTCCTGCTCTACCATTTTGTTATGCCAATGAGGGAAAGTTAGAACTTTAAATGAAATGCAATTTTAAAAAATGAAGTAGAAAATGCTTAAACAAGGTTAAGTCCTCTTCCTCTAAGTAAACAATTATTATTATTACTACTACCATTATTTCTGTGCAATAGTGAAGAGAAAAAATATAAGAAAATCTCTGGTTCTCACATATCTGCTACGCCCCAACAACACTTAGAATTGAGCAACATACAGGGCCCTCCCTGGTGGCTCAACTGATTAAGGTGCAGCACTATGAACCTGGCCAGTCAATTCACCATGAATTCAATCCCTGGCCAGGAAGGTGACCCACATGGCACAGCATACCTCTCCTGTCTTGTCCACTGAGAGACAAGGATATAAAATTTCAGGTATTTATTCCATAGCCCCTTACAAATCCTTAGTAAGGGTTTATTAATTTATTAATTCTATTGAGTTTCAAAGAAATGAAACAGTTATTGAAAATAACCTAGTTAAATATAAGCAAGCAGTACAGTATTCACATTAAAGGGCAGTAAGTCCATCCTTTAGGAATTATATTTTCTAACTGTTAAGTCATTTAGACTTTTAGAAACAATTCATCTTTCCCTCATCCAGATGTTAACCACAACAGATACAGAAACTAGTTTATACATTTATGTCCCTAGTCCTAAGCACAGTACCGAACACACAGAAGGGGCTCAAGATATGTTCTAATTACTTTAAATGCCCCAAGGGAGGTTTCCAAACACCTTGGGTTAGTATTCAAAATTCATTTCCCATAGTCAACTCCTCTGCCTCTCTAAGTAATATACACCCCATTATTCAACTCCTCTACTTAGCTCTAAGTATTCTATACACCCCATTATCCAACTCCTCTACTTCTCTAAGTTCTCATCATTCACACCAGTGATTTATCACTCCTCAAATTTTTCCTATACTTTTTTACCTCTAAGCCTTTACTTAAGCTGGTACTAAGGAAAGAATGATTCCAATTTGGAATTCAATAGCTGATCTGGATTTGTGTTACGGCTCTCCCCTTATTAGCTGAGGGACTTTGGACAAGTCACTTAACTAAAAGTTTCCGCTGTAAGTGAGGATAGCAGTGTCTATCTCACAATCGTTTAGTCTATACTTATAATATTAATATCATAAATTTATGTAGTTAGGAGATAATCTCCTTCATTAGAAGACATCTTTTCCAACTAACTCTCTTTTCCCAACACCAAGCTGGTTGACTGGCACAGAGCCAACCACACTGCATGTGACACACACTGTTGTAATGTCCATGACGGTGACATGGTGCCAAAGTCATAAGCTCCAAAAGCCACAGGTGAGGCAGCTGAGAGAAAATATCAAAAGCTACAGGTTTTCATGTTTCTGAGTACCAATTTCATATTTCACAAGTGTCATTTTATCCCTTGCAGAAAAGAAGCAAAGGAGATGTTTTTTCGGCTCTAGCAATGATCTAAGAAAGGCTGAACTATAACTGTTCCACACGCACACCAAGGGTCCCATATACATCTGACACTTTTAATGACTCTCAGCAAGGCTTCTTAGAGCTTTTCTAGTTAACAGAGCTTTCTCATTTAATAGCCTCAAAGTCAACCTTTTAAAAGTCTACTAATCCCACTTATAGCTGACAGATTCATAAAGTAAACTCACTAGTCAACAGCAAAAGTAACTAAACTGTTTCTATAAAGTTTAGGTTGTAACTTTCCAACCTTTGCTGTTGGGATTTTATCAGACTTCAATCTTATAAAGACTATTTCTTCTTTAGATTACTTAATCTTTCAAACACAAAATTGAAAAATGAGGTCCATCCTTACTAATATGTAAAGTAAATAGTGAGTATGTCATGGCCCAGTGTATTATTAATGAAACTTGTTTCCAAATAAAATAGATGATCTCAGGCATCTGTGTGGGTCATGGGAGAAAGTAAGAGTCTACTTCTAAGAGGCTATATTTGGAGTAAGAAACCAGTGAAAAGCTCTTTCTTTTCTGTGAGGCAGAAATTGAAATCTGTCATGCTCAACAGTGGTCCAGCCAAGAGCTGCTATATCTGAGGTTCTATCTATCCCATTAACACAGTGCCCTGAAACCTAGCCCAGTCTGCAAGTTCACTTTAAAATGGGACAGATTCCAAAGTTGGCGCAGGGGCCAGGAGTCACTAGGAAGGCAAGAAAGGCATGTTAGTCTGAAGGAGAAAAAGGCCAGGTCCAGAGGTTTTAACCTAGGGAGGGGTGGAGGAGTTCAGGCTGGCAATTATCTTTGTGTTGAAGTACTAAATTCAGCTGGCCCAAATAAACTGTTCATTTTCCAGGTTAGTCCATTAATCTTGTTGTGTAACAGAAGCAGGCCCACCACGAGCTCTGCACCTCAGGCACCTTCAAGAAGAACCAAAGCACTAGAAGGCCTATGTCCAACACCAGCTTGACAGAAAAAAAGGCACACAAGAATTATTTACCAATAGAATTCCATGTATTTCCCTTTGATGTTTGCTCAAACTTATTTTAGGCTTCTTAAAAGTCATCTGTTTAGCAGACATCCCACTGATTGGGAAAAAATTTTCTCACAAAAAACTAGTGATAAAGGACTGATCACAAAGATATACAAAGAACTGATGAAATTCAACAAAAATAAACAACCCCATCAGAAAATGGGCAGAAGAGCTAAAAAGACAATTCTCCAAAGAGGAAATGCAGATGGCCAACAAGCATATGAAAAAAATGTTCAGCATCACTTGTAATAAGGGAGATGCAAATTAAAACCACACCAGTGAGAACAGCACATCTTAAAACAACTAGCAACAACAAATGTTGGCGAGGATGTGGAGAAAAAGGAACTCTCCTGAACTGATGGTGGGAATGCAAACTAGTACAACCACTATGGAAAACTGTTTGGAGGTTCCTCAAACTGCTAAACATGGAGCTTCCATATGACCCAGCAACCCCACTCCTAGGTATCTACCCAAAAGATACAAAAACACTGACTCAAAAGATACCTACACCCCATGTTTATTGTTGATTTACTTACAATTGGAAAGACATAGAAACAACCCAAATGCCCAAAAGTGGATGACTGGATTAAAAAGATGTGGTACAAAAAAAAAAAAAAAAAAGATGTGGTACAAATGGAATATTACTCAACAACCAAAAAAAAAATAAACACATACCTTTTGCAGCAACATGGAGGGAGCTGGAAAAATCATGCTTAGTGAGATAAGAAAGAAAAGGAAAAATACCAGATGGTTTCACTCATAGCAGCAGTATAATGGACCAGGAGAGAAAATAATAATACTAATGAATCGCCATATACCAGAGACATTTTGTGGGGTGGATTGGGGAGTGGGATCAAAAACAGTGGGGAGAGGGAAATGTACTGGACTATGGTGATGGCACATGGGTGATTTGGTGATAGGACGCCCACAGGGATTACAACTGAGATGGAAAAATGCACAAAATGAAGTAAAAATAAACTATTATATTATTAAAAAAAAAAGTCATCTGTTTAGAAATGTATCACTTACCTGATATTGCTGTAAAGAAGCAGAAGGATGCTGTTGGGTTAGCTCAATCTCTGGTTCAAGTTTGGATTTACTTTGCTCCAGTTTATAAAGTACCTGAGAACTTTCCCGTACCCTATAAAACAACTTTTGAGAGAAAACAAACGAGGGTAAATGTGAGTCACATTAAATTCAAACATCAGCCTAGAAGGGAAAGGTAGAACTTTCTAAATTCTTTAGCTGGGCAACAAGGAAAGTACTGGTTTTCAAATTTTTAATATTGGCAGTGCTTCTTTCCAACAGAAAGTTATCAGTAATGTTTTTCAAGCTAAAACAAAATAATACCACAAACCAGAAAACACAATCATTAAACCATTGTTCTACTTCCTCTAGGTAGATATAACTTCTATATTAGTTTTTCACCCATAAGTCATCTGATCAACTCAAGTCTGATTGTTCAGTAACAACTGTTTCATGAGGCATTTAAGGAACTTTAACTATACAATAACATCCTTTCTCTTCTTACAAAAGTGTTCTTAAAATACTTTACACCCTGAAAAACTCCAGCACTAGATTTTTCTTCTTTCAAAAACTGATCGAGACTGATTTATTACACCAAATGAAAGACTTTTTCACTATAGATTTCAATCCCAATTGTAAATTTTAGGGGATCATAAATGAGATCACAGAAGGGCCATGAAGAGATGCAGTTGTCCAAACCCATGACCATTTTACTCCCCAAATCTTGGGTCTCTCTATCAGGGCAAAATTCACCACTTTTCTATATTTTCGGATGAGAAATTCTACCTTTTTTAGAAGAGAACATATTTGTTGCCGCACTCCTGGAGACTGACTGTTAAGATTATATGTGATAAAGAATTGAATCCACTGCATTTCTTCTGGGGAAATGATTTCTGTGCTTCGATTACTTTCACAAAGCAAGCCTAATGTGTCTATCCGTACCTAAAATATAACAAGCAATAAAACATTATTTTTTCAATGAAATGAGTGAAGCCCAAGCTTGATATATTCATTTACACTTGATATATTTATTTACAAAGGCTACCAAAAGAAAAGAAAGTAAGCCCCAGTTAACCTATCTGTACTTCAGAAAGGTACCTAACAAGATCTTGTGATTGCTTACTATAAAATTAGTTATGAAGTATGTAAACTGGGTATTTTAAAAAAGTCAACAATCGTAAAAATTATTATTCATATAATGTCCGATTTCACTCCCTCTCCTCTTTTGCTCAGTGATCACCTTCGTCCAATATTGTGTCTCTTCGCTCTGAGATTCCTAGCATGTACATCTAACTGGCCTCCTAGTTTCTTTTCTTCCACCCTGGAAATATATCCCTTTTCCCACTAATGCCACTCCCCTTACTGAAGCCAGAGAGGCTCTGATTCATTCACCAACTAAATGAAATCTGAGGTCTTCATTTCTGAGGTTTCCACAAAATGGAGGAAACACTCCATTCCTGCCACAATGTCCTTAATCATCCTCCAGACCTTGCTTATTGTGTCCTTCCACTTTGCATGCCACTCCCACGCTCATTCTCTTCATACCACATTCATCACTTTTTTTAATCAACCATCGCCTACTCTGAGCCTCCTAAGTCCATGTACATAAAGGTACCATGAGCACCTGCATTGTCCTCCCACAGAATTCTATTGTTTTATGTAGGTTTTCCTATACCCTCAACTAAACTTTACAGAGCCTGATGCCAGGTCTACACTTTTCACTTTCTATTCATCCTCTTTATGGATCCTCTAAAACGGTACTGGGCACAACATAGGGATCTCTTTACTGGACTGTTAAATGAATAAATGAATCACAGGTCTACTGCATGTAAGAATTCCTAATCCTTTGTTTACTTACTTGGCAGTGCTGATGAATTAAGCCTTGCTTTATTCTTGCACTGGACACAAGGTCCCGCCAGGTATCAGTTGTAGACTGAAGATGTCCGTGGGCTCGGGCTGTTCGCAGACATGCCATCAGAGCTCCCAGTGCCCCTCTGCTATTACAAGACCCTAAGCATGAAGAAGACTGCTCTTAACTCAAAAACACAACTAAGACCACTACTGAGCTATGTAACAACAATTCTCATGTTTCAAATTAATACTCCATTTCAAACTTTAAAAAACTGTATTTTAAACTATCAGCTAATATGCATTAAAATTCCTATTATAAAATGCTCACTATATATGAAGATCTAACAGCTCATGTCTCAATAATTTCAAGTGAGCACAATCTTCTTATTGCTAACTTAAATCAGAATTTTTTGCTAATATTTTTACTTTTGCCTTAATACTTGGAAAATAAAGCAGATAGTAAATCAGGAACACTAGCACGTGGTGAAATAGTTTAAATGTATAAAAAAATTAAAATAGTTTGGGCAAGGGTAGGAAAAACATCCCATGGCTAAAAACCACTATTTCTTTAAAAACAAATACTGAATGAACCCAGTAATAAAGGAAAACCTATAATCATAACTGGAATCACCCTTTCATGAACAGAAATTACTTCAGCCACAAAACTATTCATCTATGTAGGCAAAACAGTCATTCGGATCTGAAATCTTATTTGTTACAATCTTCTTTTAGTATTTATAGAAATGGCAACATTTATTTTACCTATGGTCAACATCTACCTAATTATCTATTCTTAAAAACATAACTAGAATTATTAGAACAAAAATTCACTTTCTTACCAATTTTAGCATCAGCAGAAGTCTGGAGAATCTTCACCATGTAGCTTAAGCTTTCAGGGCTGCAATTCAATAATTTTGGCAAGTAATAATCAATCACATAAGATTTTTGATCCAGATTTCCTTCACACAGTATAAAAAGGAGAGGAGAAACCCAAGTCTCATGCCACTGATCAATCCAAGTGTTGTCAACAGCTTGGGACTTCAAGTGACTTTTATGATTTTTAAACATGGTTTCCAAGAGGTCACTTGCATAAGGTACCAATGACTGATCCCCCATCACCTCTAAGATTTGTGATGGAATAGTTTCAGCTATTGCCAAAATAGGTTCAATGCCTATGTGATCCACCAAGCAGCCAAGGCACGTGTACTTTCCTCTGATATGCCATTCCAGTTGCAGGAGACTCTCAGTCAGTTCAATAATGAAAGGATCAGATGCCAAATCAGAATCTGACTCTTCTACAGTGAGCTGGTGCAGTTGGAGAAGATTCCTGAATATGATTTTGGTTTGATGTCTGAGAGCATCCAGTGGATGTTCCCAGTGGGTATAGACATATTCCAAAAGTCTCCCAACTATGGTGGAATTCCCCTTCAGATTGTCCTTTAGGCTTGGGGAACCTGATTCAAGGACTTGTATGGCTGAATTAGTCCAAGAAGCCAAAATTCTAGACAGAAACATCTCCAGAGTAGATTCCTTGATCCTAAGGGGGAAAGAGTGATATCAATTATAAATGAGAACAATAAAATTCATTTTACACTTATTTTGATTCTTAAAACATAAAATGCAAAGAATGACTAGAAAACTCATTCACTATTAAATTTGCAACAACAAAAATGACAAGGTCAAACAGAGCTCAAATTTGTGTATGAATCGCTTTTGCTTGTATAAAACCATTCAAAAAGGGGCACAAGGAAACTTCTGGGGGCAACAGAAATGTTCATTATTTTCATTGTGATGATGGTTTCATAGGAGATTTTAAAAATACTGAGGACTGAGGCTCTCCCTGGTGGCACAATGGGTTAAAGCACTGCATTATGAAGCTCTGCAAAGCCACTGCTTCGATCCCGGGCCAGGAAGCTGATCCACACGGTGTGGCAGACTTCTTCTGACCCACCCACTGCTCCCCTCAGCAGTGTACTTTGTCAATCTGCCTGTTCTGCTCCCCACTCTGTCTCTGGTGAATCCTCTCACCCACCACACCTCTAACCTGTACCCTAGTTCTATAAGCAAAAATAAATAAATCTTTCAAAAAAAAAATACTGAGGACCTAGCACTGGGAAAAGTTAGGGGGATGGGATTTGTTTGAAGGGCAAGGAAAATACTGTAAAGTTGACAGTGATGAGATTTGCACAACCAGGTGAATATAATGAAAACAACTGATTGCACCTTTTAAACAGATAATTTGTAAGCTATGGAGATCTCAGTAAAGCTGTTGTAAAATATAATAAGGAATTTTTAATTCCTTTAAAATGTGTACAATTAAAAAAAGATAACTGAAAAACTTATTGTGGAACATAGTGTTTTTCTTCTTTGATTTACATGTTTATTGCTATCAGCAGTATCTATGGTTGACATTTCAGGCATATGATCAGCTTCAGGTATTATGGCAAAACGTCAAGAAAATCACAAAATTGAGCCCACTGACGTAAGAAGACCTGCTTTCAGTTCTGATTTGGGAGCCTATTAGCAATACACTCTTAGCTAAGCATTTATTTTTCTAAAGTTCACTTTATCTACTTAACAATTACATTTCTTATCCTATCTATCAGTCATGTGAGAATCACACTAATTACCAGTGGTAATTCTTCATAAAATCTAAAGCACTATACATATAAAAATTTTATAGCTTTTTTTTAAATGCCAGCATTAGACCATTCATGTTACAATTAATTGTAGAAATGTTCACTACAGTTAATTTGCACCAATAATTTCTGAACTCTTTCCTTCCCATCATTCTTCCTCCTCCTGTTCCACTTTCATATCTATTTCATTCCCTGCACACATCTCCCTGCTAGCAAAGGACACCTTTACTGATTTTCGATGAATTACTATGTGAGCTCAGTTGCATCTTTTAAATGTCTGACAAGCAAAACAAAATATGAGACAGCAGCACCAGCACTCACTGTGTACTCAGGGTGAACAGGACGTGCACAGTATCTAAGAGCAGGGTCTCCCCACTCGGGCCCATCCTCCCATCCTGCCAATCCAACATGCTGAGTGTCCCCTGGCACAGGAACAGGAGAGCAGACTGGGAGATACTGGCACAACAAAGGCTCCTGCAGCAGTTCAAAAACCACTCGGGGATGCTGGTGCTGTCCACTGAACGGAGAAGCAAACTACTAATCTGTAAAATATAGCAGAGTTAATACATATAAAGACTCCCAAACTTTTCAGAGCTATTTCAAAACGTAATTATAAAAATTTCTTTTTCCAGAAATATCTTAGGAAAAATTTCTGAACCGAACAGTGAAAAAAAATCTATTATCATAAGAAAAAAAAATTAAATCTAAGTATGTAAACGATCGGGCTGGTTTCAGTCTTGATAAGACACAACACATCGCCACCTACAGGACGATGAGCTGAGCTAAATTTTTTGGCAGGGAGTTGAGAAAAAAAAATTTGATTTATCCAATAGTTACCTTATATGATCTCATAGACTTGTATACATCTATTTTTCAGATACAGAGCCAAAATAATTTTCTAGATAATACAGAAACACCTGTGGTGTTGAATAAAAGAACTGTAGCCTAAATTATCAATTATATTTGCCATACAGTTATATTCACTGAGTAGTTCACTTTATCATGCTCCCTAATCTAAAATACAAAGTTTGGGTTATCTTTAACAAAAAGAATATATTTATCAGTTAGCATACATCCATATATTAATCACTGCATAATTTTTAATATTGCAAGTATCTTTTATAATATGAAAACTGAACAAACAGCACTAGAAAAAGAACTAGAAGGTTGGCCCTCCCTGGTGGTGCAATGGGTTAATGCACAACACTACAAGCTAGCTGCAGCCACATCAGTGCAAGTTCGATCCCTGGCCCCGGAGGTGACCTACATGGTTCACAGACCTCTCCTGAACCGGCCACTGCTCCCCTTAGCAGTATACTTCATTGATCTGTCTGTTCTGATTCCCATTCTGTCTCTGGTAAATCCTCTCACCCCTTGCACCTCTAGCCTGTACCCCAGTTCTGTACACATAAATATATAAATCTTTAAAAAAAAACAAAACTAGAAGAGTATATGCTGAAAATACTGATAATGATTATCCTTGTGAGATGGGTAACAGGTGACTATTATTGTCTTCTATCTTTATCTGAATTTTTGGAACTGTCTTTTTTATAAGAGAAAGATTTTTAAAATTCTGACTGTAAAAGAAAATTTTACATTCAAAAACTTTATTTTCTTAATTATATTACCTATTGAAGTAATGTTGACTTACAATACTATCTGTGATATAAAGGTATACATCCATACCTGTTTAGTTGATTATTATCCTATTATATTGCCCAAACATTTTTTTAATCCACTTCTCTAAAAATATCTTTAAAATATGTCTAACAATAAAGTAAAATTCAAAGCAGAAAATGTACTTACCAAGTCAGGAATCTTTTCAGGTGGATCAAGCATAGTCTTAATGAAAAGAATAACAGCTAATCCACATGTACTCTGAATTGTCTGTAACAGATCATCTGTTTGGCAAAAAATAGAGAGCATTTACTAAATGAAGGTGAATAATCTGGCACATTGGAAAAGCAGTTGCTGCTGGGTCACACAGTCCTAGGTGCAAATTCTAGCTTAACCACTTCCTAAGCAGGCCTTGGACTAATTACTTGACCTCTTGGATATGCAGCTTTCTCCTCTGTAGAATAGGAAAATGTAAAGCCTCTATGACAGCTTTTATGCCCAGCATATACATATTCAATAAGTGTGAGTCCTTTCCCTTTCTTCTAATATTCACTCTCTCTTACTCTCTACCTGCTACCTCCTGGTATTTCCAAGTGACCTAGAAAAGATTTCTGTCTCCACATTTTGTGGGGGTGGAGTGGGGAATGGGATCAAAAACGGGGAGGGGGGGAGAGAAATGCACGGGATTATGGTGATGGCACACGGATGATTTGGTGATGGGAAACCTGCGGGGATTACAATCGAGATGGAAAAAAAAAATGTACAAAATGATGTAAAAATAAACTTTTGTAATAAAAAAAAAAGATTTCTGTCTCCAGTTCAATCCCTCTGGGAAGACTACAGGTGGTAAGAGCAAGACACTAGATACATATGTAGTCCGGTGTTCTGTCAAGTTAGCAATCTTTCATGATAATGCCTATATCAACTCACTGAGTGCTACACAGGAAGATATTCTAATTCTCATTTCATTTGATTTGTTAGTTGAAATATATGTATAAAGACACATTTTCTCTCAATAACAAGGGGTTTCTCAGGGACAGAAACAAGAGAGCCCCTGACCTGTCCCACCATGACTACCGGCATCACTTGAAGGTAATACCTGCTGCTAAGGAAAACAGTCACCCTAACCTTTCCATATCTTCTTCCCAAATTCAGAAATTTCTTCTCAAGAATTTTCTTCTATTATTTAAGGTCTGTAGCATCTCAACACTACAACTGTTAGGTTTTCTTTTTTGTATACAACATACACACACAGATTCTCTTTTAGAAAAGTCCTTCAACATTTCCCTTGCTGAACTGATACTTTGAAAAAAAGCAAGCTTTTTCCTCACATTGAGGAGCTGAAAGAAGTTCTATATCTCATAAAGTATCCTATTTCATATCTTCATTAGCCAAAACTGATTGACAAATTATAATCATAATTTATATGATTTTACACTTACCATCACTTAAAAACTTGGTGAAAATACCCAGCAATCCACACATACTATGCCACATGGCAGAACTGGAAGTCTTCAAATGAATTCTCTGGAAACCTTGTACTTTCTGTATTAGCATCACTGACACTCTAATGCCTACCAACAAGTTATTCATCAACTGCGTTTGAATAATATGATTTCCAGCAAACTTTCTACAAAGAAAAACCAGTATTACAAAAAACATGTCAAGTAAAAATGTTACCATTTCTACCCTTCTCCAAAATAACACATTCCTCAGAGAGCCAAAATCAATTTCAAATTATTGTAGACATTTATGCATGCCTCTCTACATTCTCATAAATGTCCCAAGTATGTAGGTACACACTGTAAATTTTTTACGCTCTAATTTACGTCAATATTTCCCTTTTCTCAGGCAATGACTAACCTCACTGCTCTTCTAGAGTAAAAATAACAGATTAAGAATGAATGTCATAATTAAGAAACTTGAACATTTTCTAAATCGTGATTATTTCTTCACTTGCTTCCAAGATGCCAGGCGCTTCCAGATTTTCTCCTTCAGAAAATCTTGGTCGCATCTTTAGTTACAAAAATTATGTAATCATTCTTGACTTCTGTGTTCCTCATCCTGTCTATAAGAAAATCCTGTTGGTTCAACCTACAAAATATGCCCAGTCAGGCCACCTACACTGCACCCCCCGACTGAGCCACTTTCATCTCTTCCTTAGATTATCGTGACAGTCCCCTAGCCAGTCTCCCGGCTTCTATCTGTGGGCCTCTCAGTCTTTTCTTGCATAGCAGAACACAAAAATGATGCTAATCATGAGCCAGGGAAAACACTTAGAGTTCCTTTAAAAGTTAAAATAGAATTACCATATGATCCAACAATTCCTTGGTATAGGCCCAAAAGAACTGAAAAGTAGGGACTCAAACAGACACTTGCATAGCAATGTACTGAGCAGCAATATTCACAGTAGCCAAAAAGTGGAAATTACTCAAGTGTTCATTAACATGTGAATGCATAAACAAAATGTGAGAAATATATCCAATGGAATATTATTCAGCTATAAAAATGAAAGAAATTCTGACATACACTACAGATAGGTTAACCCTGAAAACACAGAAAGTAAGTCAGATACAAAAGGTCTACAAGAGCTTAACACTCAGGGAAAAGGTCTAATTTTTAGTGAAAAGCCCAAGGTTCATCAGTATAGAGATGGTAGCTAATGCCAAAATGTGGATGATATTAAGCAGTCAAAAAAAAAAGGAAAAAAAAATAGAACCCACACTAAAGAAGTAAGCAAAGGAAGAGCCCAAAAAGAGATGGAGAGAGAGAGCTCCTGGGAAGACAAAAGGAGACTGTGTTGCAGATGGCACACAGACATGGCTTCTACTCTCCCAGAAACCCCCACGCCAACAGGGAAGGGATTTAAAGCATAAAAAGGCAGGGGTCTCCCTGGTGGTCTAGGCGTTAAGCCTCAGCACTATAACCTTTAAGGCCTGCATTTGACCCCTACCAGGGAGCTGCCCCACATGGTGCAGCAGATCTCTCCCGTTTCCATGCTGCTCCCCTCAGTAATATATTTCAGTAGATCCTCTTGTTCTGCTCCCCACTCTGTCTTTGGCGAATTCTCTCACCTCCCCTCACCTCTGGCCTATACCCCAGTTCTTATATGCAAAACTTTAAAAACATAAAACATAAAAAGACATAAATCACAGGGCAGCAGAAAACAAGACAATAATTAATTTTAGATGCTACAAAGAAGATGAAGAAGTGATAAATGACTTAGCAGAACCACAAACGGTGAATACAAGGTCCAAAATAAACCCAGAAGCCACCTGCTTTGCAGTCCCCAAAAAACTAAAAACTGTAAGTATCTGGTACTCCTTGAGATGGAGGTAAAGAGAAGATTGAAACAAAAAGAAAACTTGGCTAACAAGTCTGTTGAAAAAGAATAAGAACTTGGATTACATCAATTAACAACCTCTAGAAAAGGCAGAACAGCAGGTATCTGTACAGGAACACAGTACACACAGACAAGGCAGTGTACACATTGAAATAGGAGAATACATACATACACAATGAATATCAAATGCCAAGATTTCAGCTTCCTTCCCTCACTCAGCAAACAAGTATCAAGCTAATAGTTGGCAAGATTCTTCCATGGTAAAGCCACTACCTATGCAAAAAGTTCAAAGATAGAGACATTGGAGGTTTCCTAAATAACCTACCCAAACTACCCTTCAATAAAATGTACATTCAATCCCACTTGTGTGCAGAGATACAAATCAATTCTCAGACCCCCAACTCAAATAAAAGGACTCAGCCGACCCTTGTGAGAAAAGATTCTACCAACAGACACAGTGACCAAAGGCAGCCAAGAGAAAGAAGCAAGTTGGAAGAGAAGCTATGCAGAAATAGTAAAAGTTGAAACAAAAACCAGCTGTCGTTAATATTTCAGAGACATAACGCAGGACACTTCATCCATGGAATATGAACATAGTTCATCCATGAACTATGAAATTGCCACACTCGGTGGAAACAAGAGAGCTTTTCTTTCTCACTTATGCTCATCATAATTATGTGATGGTATTAGATTAAATATCAAACCTTTAAAAAAAATCAACTTACATAATGAGGTCTAACATTAAGCGAGAGCCAATAGGAAGGAGCACATCCTGGAATCTTTTTAAAAATATCTTTTGTACACAAACAATGCATAATGGTCAGCGTGCACACAGACACACACAAGCAGGCAAACATTTTGCACTTACCTGTTTTCTTCTGAGGTTTCGATTAAACTCCTCTGCAGAAAATTCAGCACTGAAACAAAAAGAATATAATGACGAGTTAGAATTGAAAATTGTTAACCTCAGTACAAGAAATGTTTTCTAGTAATGAAATGCAGTTGTGGGTTTTTTTAATCATTTCCCCTGCTTTAGTTTTCGTTTTGTTTTGTTTTGTTTAACAAGAAAATATTTTAAGTTACTGTTAACGAGTGACCTGGTGGTGTAAAAGTAGAAATTTTAAAGGAAGCACGTAGGGGAACCTTACGCACCTGTGGGGCTCTATTCCTGAGCCACAAGAGCTAAAAGACAATCAGTTCCAAAATGACTCCTGCCACACTCATCTCTCAGAAGAAAACAAAATAATAGAACTTACCATTTGTAAGAAGATTATTAACACTGGCTTTACCTGTGGGGAGGAAATTAACACCATAAGGAGGTTCATGACCAAATCGCACATCATTTTAAAGCAATGACAGGTGGTAATCAGAGAAAGTACTATAAAAGAACGGGCTTACCCAAGTTAAAATTCTCCAAACAAGACGATATATTGTCAATCACTTTCCTATAAGAGTACAGATCACTAGTATTCAGTTCTTCTTGAAGATGGGAAGTAAAACTTTGTATAGCTTCAGTTAGAAAACAATCAGGTAGGCCATTTAATGAGCTAGAAAGAGAACCACATGTTAACAATCTGACAACCTTGTAGTACAAGGATAAATGGGGGGGTTGGGGGGGAAATATACAAATGAATGAATACTGAATTACACCTTCAAAATGCAGTCAGAAAAATTCTAACTTCACAACTATCACTGGAACTCCCTGGTCTATCATTTCTCATCTGGTCTCCCGGCTTCTAGCTTGCTTCCTTCCCATCTTGTAGGCTCTCTGTCAACGTAGTGGCCAGAGTGAAATTGTGACATCACTCAAACACCATAGCTACTCCTCTGCCACAAATCATTCAATAGCGTCCCCCACAAAGCAGTGCTGGGGTGTTTACAATGACTTCAACACCCGAGACAACCTGACCCCACCATTGACCCCACCATGCCCAACCTCATCCCCATTTACTCACATCCCATGGGGACGTGGCCGCCCCCAGTTTTCCAGCAACACACCAGGCCCTCGGTCTAACTATTTCCTCTACCTGGAACACTCTTCTCTCAAACATACCCAGTCATCACTGGCTCGGCCCATCAAGTCAACCTCAGTATCATCTTACGAGTGGTATTTAAGCAAAGATCTCTAAAATGGCAAATATAATTTCAAGTGTAACCTCACTGCATCCTTAGGGTTCCCCTTCTCCCTTCTCTGCTTTATTTTTCTCCATAGTATTCATGTCACCTGATCCTACATATTCTGTTTAGTCTATCTTCCATCTTCCTTTTAGAATGTAACCAGTGTTTTACCAGTTTCCACAATGCTTAGAAGAACATCTGACACACGGTAGGTAGTCAAGAAATACTTATTGAAAGGATAAAATAAAATTAAGGTCAAATTTGCCTCCATCTAAATCAAAACCAGTAGTCAATTTTTTAAATTTGACTAAACTTTTCTAAAGAGTTTTTTTAAAAGGAAAAAAAAATCCAAAATAGGCATATTCTGAAGAAGAGTTGCCAAGGAAGGACTTGTTCTTGAGCATAATTAGCCATACTATCAAGCACTGTGTGCTGGTATATAAACACAGACATTATAAAATCAAACCTGTGTTTACCGGGAACAAATAATGAAAGAACCTGGGATTCCAAGTACATGGGGAAAGCAAACTACTTGACACTTGGGGGATACATGGTTCTCCACACAGAAAAGAAAATGCAGGTGGCTCCCTTCCTGACAATCCACTCAAAACTTAATTTCCGATGGATTTAACAGGCAGATGAAAGTAAACTAAGGTAGTATAAGAAAAGACTTAGCAAGTCATTTTATATAGTCTTACACTTACAGCATGAAACCTAAAAATCTACACACAAAAAATATATAAGCAGGTCTGATTACCAAAAAGAGTTGTATAGTTTTTGTTAAGCAAATACAGCATGAAGAAAACTTAAAGACAAGTAACAAAATAAAGAATATATGTGGCCCATAATTGTTAGAGTTCTGAAAAATCAACAAGCCCTTCTAGGGACGGCTGCCCTGCAGGCATCTGCCATGCCCTTCTATGCTGGCAAAGCCCACCTCCCATAGAGACAACGGTGTGAGATCCTTGCATCCCTGTCATACAACCAAAGAGAGGGGAGTGATCCAATCCTGACAATGGAAACCGAGAGGAAGTCTCCTGCAAAATGTCCTTCTCTCTAATAATATGGGAAGCAAAGGAGGAACTTCCCTTTTTTCTGGATGCAGTAGCATCTGTAGACACCTGTGCCTACAATATTCTCTTATAACTCTAAGGGGAAATATGGTCAACACATGGGAAAGAGGGAAAACATCGGGGTCTTTGATGATGCTGTCGACACTTCACCCAACTCCTAGAACTTACCAGTGCTTGATCATATGTTTGTAATACAATAAATTTATCTACTTACAGAAAAATAAGTCTAACAACATATAAAAGACATGTAATTACAGAAGTAAAATAGTTGAACTCCTCACATGAAAAATGTTCAATCCCATTAGTAATCTAAAAAATGCAAATTATAATATATTCCATTTTTACTTATCAATTTTTTTTAAAGATTTATTTATTTGTGCATACAGAACTGGGGTACAAGCCAGAGGCGCAAGGGCGGTGAGAGGCTTCACCAGAGACAGAGTGGGAAGCAGAACAGGCTGACTGACAAAAAACACTGCTTAGGGGAGCAGCGGGCAGGTCAGGAGAGGTCTGCCGTGCCATGTGGTCACCTCTGGGGCAGGTGGGGATTGAATTCATGGGGAAGTGGCTTTAGCTTCTTAGTGCTGTGCTTTAACCCGCTGCGCCACCAGAGAGGGTCTTACTTATCAAATTTTAAAAGATGTACAGATTGGTATATCTAGTGCTGGAAAGACATGAATAAACAGGTATTTTCATTCTCTGTTGGTACCAGCAGAAACTGGAATACAGTTTAGGTATTGTAAATACAATTTAGCAATAACTATAAAAAAATTTTGGGAAGGAAAATTCCTTTTTTAAAATTTTTTTTCGGAAAATTGCCCAAAAGCAATGATATATAAGATTAAGGATTGTTGGAATAATGAAAACTTGAAAACAACCTAAATATTAAAAGGGGTGATTAATATGCAATATGGTATTTGAAACACCGTATCATGGAATACTTATAACTGGTAGAAAGAACTAAAACTTCCGGTGGGAATGTAGAGTGGGCTAATTATGGAAATGGAACCTGGGTTAGTTTCCTCAGAAAATGAACCAGAATTACATGATGCAGCAATCCCACTTTCAGGTATCCACCCAAAAAAGCTGAAGGTGAGCTCTCAGAAATACTCGCACAGTTAGTTCAAAGCAGTATTATTTACAACAGCCAAGAGGAAGGAGTCTAAGAATCAGCACAGAGATTGCACACATGGGGAACATCCATCCGATAGAATATATAATTCAGCCTAAACAGAAGGCTACATCCATGCGACAACATGTATGACCCTTGAGGACATAATGCTAAGTAAAATAAGAGAGTCACCAAAGGACAAGGACTCCACTTGGAGGAGGTACTTAAAGTAACTGAAGCGCAGAAATAGAAAATAGAGTACGGCAGCAAGAGCTGGGGAAAGGAGCCAATGAGGAGTTGTTGTTTCATGGGAAACAGAATTTCAGTTTTGCAAGATGAAAAAGATCTAGAAATTCGCTGCAAGACAATGTGAATATATTTAACACTACACTTGAAAAGAGCACAATTTACATTGCATTTCTTTACAATAAGGTAAAAGAATAAGGGGACGGTACTGACATAAAAATATCTCAGGCATTCTTCAGTGAGAAACAAGCTACAAAACAATATGTAAAGTATACAAGCCCACTTACATATTTTTTACAAAGTCAAAACTAAAATACATCACACACAAACCCAAAGGTCTAGAAAGATAGATACCAAAATGTTAAGCGATCAGGTTTACTATGGAAAGCAAGAGAGGACAGATAGTGAGACAGAGGCTCACTTTTTATTTTGTGTTTTTCTGTAATGTTTCTAGCTTTTATATCAAGCATAAATTATTTTGTATTGCCTATGTAATTAATATGTAAGCCAAGAACAGATGAGACAAAAAGAGAAAAAAGAGCAAGGTAATAGATTTAAATCTAAACAATAAGTGCAATTAAGTGTAAATGGCCTAAAGCAAGCCAACAAACTCCAGCCCTCAACCTGGAGGGCCAGTGAAGCTAAGAAAGTGTTTTCATATTTTAACAATTATAATAAACAAATAAAATAAAACAAACAAACAAAAAAACCATATGAATGAAATCATTATATAGTTCAGTTCAGTTTTACCAAACCAGGAAAGTTACATACTAATTACTTAAGGTCAAAGTGAACATTTATAATGCCTAACTTTTTTTTTCCTTACCTTGCCAAGACTTTCTTCAAGGGATTCTTTAGACTCAAAGAAAGATAAATGCCTGCCAAAATATCCAAACAACCTTGAATAGTGGGATCACACACACCATTTTTACTTGCCTTCTCCAGTAAAGGAATAATCTATAATGCAAAAAAATTCAAAGTCATATAATTTTCTTGAATATCAAATTCAGCACAGTTAACATGGCTTGAAATACTCTCTCAAGTCTCAATTACAATATGAAACATTTCCACAGTACATTCTTAAATACACTTACTTAATTAAGCATCTATTTCAGTAGTTATTCATTCAATAAAACTTCTTAAACCCAAGTCTCCAACTTCTCTTTTAACCTACAGACCCACCTTTTCTTTTCTTTTCTTCTCTAAGATTTTATTTGTTTGTTTATTTATACATACATAACATACATGCATACATACATACAAGAACTGGAGTTCAGGCCAAAAGTGTAGGGGGTGAGAGGATTCACCAGAGACAGTGGGAGGACAGAACAGGAGGATCCCTGAAATACACTCACTGCTGAGGGGAGGAGCGGGTGGGACAGGAGAAGTATGCCACACCATGTGGGTAGGCTCCCTGGCAGGGGATTGGAATTGAATTCATGCCACTGCAGTTGGTGATAGTTTGATAGCATAAGACTTAACCCTGTACCAACAAAGAGGCCCCAGGCCCACCTTTTCTGAGCCTTGTATATTAACTTTATTACATACTTGTTTATGGCTTAAGATACTGGACTTCTGTAGCATTATTAAAAGACCAACAATGCAAGCTCTCCCTGGTGGTACAATAGGTTAAAGCACTGCACTATGAAGTTCTCAGAAGCCCCTGCAGCATGTGTTTGATCCCCATCCACGGAGCTGACCCACATGGCATAGCAGACCTCTCCTGACCCGCCTGCTGCTCCCCTCAGCTGTGTATTTCAGTAGATCTGCCTGTTCTGCTCCCCACTCTGTCTCTG